CAGATTGTTCTCACTTCTCTATGCATCGATGGATGGCCCGTCTTCTACGAAGCATATTTCTGGCCACTGATGGATGGTCTGTGTTTCCATCTCATACAATCCGAACGATTGTTATGGACTCCGATTGAGTTGTCGGTATATTTCTTAATTTCTTTGTTTTGAACACATTTGTTCATTATATATTCGATTTTCTGTATTTTGGTTTCCTATACAAAAAATATTGAAAACATTCAATTATTCCGTGTTTCTACACCGCGTTTCATGTTGATTTGATAATTTTTTTTAAAAAAACTTCCACTGCACGTACAATCCGTAACAGATCTTTGTATATCCATGGATATTGGTTCGTGTTTGTCTGAATCTCCGAGATCTATCATCATTTGAGATTTAGACCTTTTTAATGCATGATTTTGTGGTTGTACACTTTAATATATCAGTTTTTCATTTTGATTTCGTAGTGACTAAGGGTTATACTGAGATTTCTTAAAAGTGAAATGTCCGGTCATCCTTTATCAGGAAATAGAACTACGTATGTGTCTAAATATATGATTTTTTCGTTTGTACATGCTTAAATATAGTCAGAAATGGACTTCCAGTAGTATGTTCTTCTTAGTAACCATGATTCTTATACTTAAACTAAAATATTCCGAAGTTATTCTATTTTTTTTAATATGTCATGTAGTACTAATTTGAAACAAAACCAACATGTCACAACTATACAAAACCCTTTTAGGAAGCTATTTTTGATAAATACCACTCTGTTTTTACAATTGATATACCTATGGGTCATAGATATATTGTAAGGTCTATATACCCATGAGAATACCTATTTGTGTTCTAGTTTAAATCTCTTTTAAAACAATATGGTTTCAAAATAATTCTAATTTTTAAACTATGTGACATCCATGTTAAATACCGAAATTGATTTATTCCTAAGATATTCTAATTATTCTTTTCTGTCATGTAGTTGTATTTGAAACAAATCAAAGTTGTCTCACTTCTATAAAACCCTAAGATTAAACTATTTTGGATAATCAATAATCTGTTTTTTGAATTGATACACCAAAGGGTCATACATATAATCTATGTCTAAATACATATTTGAATACTTATTTGTGTAACAGCTTTGATCTTTTTTTAACAATATGGGTTCAAACTTAATGTGGTTTTCAAACCATGCTGTCATACCTATTTTAAAACAAAATATACTCAAATTAATATATTCCCAAGTTATTCTAATTATCTTTAATATTTCATGTAGTCCTGATTTGAAACAAATCAAAGCTGTCATACCTATTTTAAACACTATTATTAAACTATTTTTTGATAAATCTCTAGTCTGTTGTTACAAATGATATACCTATGTGTCATTCATATATTTAAACGTCTATATACCTATTTGAATACCTATTCAGTAACAGTTTCAATCATTTTTAATCAATATTGGTAAAAACTATATCTGACTTTTAAACTATGCTACATACATCTTAAATACTCTGTTTTAGTGCTGCTTTTAATGTTGCTTTGTTTTATAACTAAAATGTGTTCTTTCTTTCAATACTCATTTAATATTTTATTAATAGTGATTTCAAATCACAATTATTTTTAAAACAAAACTGCCATACTTATTCTTCTATGAAAAATCCTATATTTTGATAAATTCGACACTTAATCTTTAAAAATATTTTTTCATAAAGCAGATATACATGTATGTATGTATATGAAAACTTTATGTTTTCTGAAGTATTGTTTGCAGCCATACCTAAATGGATGTTAACTATTGTCTATCTGGGTCAATTGGTAGGTGATGTGGCATTGACCATAGGGTTACCCGATACCCTGCCAGCCACATCAGTGGCCTTCGGAACTACGTGGTCGGGTAGCCCGCTAAGCAGCCATCTTCAATTCTACCTTACACCACCTTGATATGATAATAGGAGTTCACAAATGTTTTTCCCAAAATTTTTTGGTGTTATGAACATAATTCATTCATGGTTTTGTAAACCATGAGAAATCTGAAGTTTGCAGTGATACCTTGATCAAAAACCTCTCCTGCCAGCCTCTTACGGTTGATTATTGTTGATTTAGTAAGCCTCCTCATTTTTTAATGCATTTGCTATAAGTACCCTGTATATCATTCATATCAGGTTATATCTCTGAGCTCTCATATGCATTTTGATTTGGCCAAACTCATCCAAAAATGTGTATTCCATAGGTATATATATGTCATACATATAAGTTCATCCTAATCATATTTTTAAGTTACTGTGTTTTGCACTTCATTAAAATGTATTTTTTCAAAGATAGCATGAAAGAAATGAAAGCAGAGGGTAATGCTGTAGCAAAAATATGCATTCTTAGTGCATTTAAACGAAGCTTTCATAGCATTTCATTACATGCAATGTTCCGATACATTTCAGGTAGCATAAAGCCACACTTTTTGAGAAAAGCATAAACTATTTTAACTAAATCCTTTTTAACCAACCCATCTGCATACCCACAACTGTGTATTCATTGAAGAACTTTCTGTTAAGATAAATAACCCGTTCAGATCTCCTAGGTAACACTGGACATGCATCTAGCAATTCTTCTTCACATTGTTTGCATATCAAGTCCACAGTACCCCTGTCCTTGTTAAGTGGCTTCATGCAGTAGTAGTGGCTAAAGTTTGATTTACACTGAGAACAATCTTCCAGCACAAACCCCCCACTATGTTCACCACAACCATGACATTTGAGATTAAATGTTGCAGTATTCATCCTTTTTATTTCTGATAGGTCAATCTGTATATGAAATATATATCATTTTTACTAAAATCTGTACTCAAAGCTGCATTCATACTCTATGTTTTACAGCATGCATTTTATTTCTGATAGGTCAATCTGTATATGAAATATATATCATTTTTACTAAAATCTCTACTCAAAACTGCATTCATACTCTATGTTTTACAACATGCATTTTTTTATAGATTCACTGTTTAGTATGAATATCTACTGCATAAAATTTGACATAGCAAAATAATATAAAACTAACCTTTTATTGCTTTTTAATGGCAAACCCTTGCACTCTTAGACTACATTCATGGTGATGGATTCTCTGAATTGCTATTTCGTTTCTAGCTAATAAATGAGGTTCTTGTAAGTTGTTGGATTTATTTATGTCTATTTATAATGGGAATGTGAGACTGGGCAATATCCAGAGGTAAATATCTTAATCTGACAGCATTGATTTAAGCAATTGGGATAGCTACGTTTCATTACTTTACACAGCTGCATTTCAAATTTTCATTGGAAACAATCCATTTTTAATAAGTCCGTCAACTTTGAATGACTACATTTGAGAGCTACGTTTCATTAAAAGTCACAGACTGGCATAAAAACTTTTTTATTGGGAAACAACCATTTCTTAACTACCACACTCTTTTTTACCGTTGAATGACTACTTTACTTGTGAACCACCATGCATTTGTGATAAAAAAGTTTTTTCTGGCCTTTGTCAATTAGTAGCTGAAATTGTCAATCCCTACTCGGTTATTAGGGAATTGAGGATACTCAAAGGCCTACATTAACTGTGCTAAAATGTTATACCTTATTTGCCTAAATTATTCTCTTGACTTTTCAGAATTTTAATATTTTGGGTGATTTTAAACATATGCATATACTTTAAGACAATGTTTAATATAAGGGCATTTTTTTATGTTTTATACCGTTTAGTTTTAATGCATTTATATGTAATTTCCACCTATGTTTTTATATTCTTATTTAAAATATTTGAGCACATACATTAAATAATAATTTGAGCACATACATTAATTTTATACTTTACATAATAATTTATTGACTTTGTAATTTATTTAGTCATTCAAAGAAGAGTTACTTTTTTGGGGTTTAGTAAAAGGTATCCACTGATATTTTTTCCACATGTACATGTTAAGCTTGTTCGGATTACAATAAGGAGTGGAAAATGCAGTTAGATCTTTTTTTTATGAAGAACACACATGTAATTCCTAGGAATCTGGGACCTTATAAAGGTTGCCAAAAATGTAATAAGTATATTAGTTGATATTAGGATTTGCAGGGTTCTGTCACAGCATCCAAAGACACAGGTATGTTGCATGTTACATATGCTTCTGCTTTATTTTCAACAATAAACTTTTTGTTCAATAGGATTGAATTTGCACTGGCTAAAGTTTTTTAATGGAATAAATTTAGCTTTTTCTTACATTACCAGGCTTTGACATGGGCAAAGTACATCAACATGTTTTTTGTATACGGGAAAAACATTTTTTCTAACATCTTTGAACTCTGTGTTAAATCAGTTTTCAACAATATCTTTACAAAATTTACTCTAGTTAGTCTGATAAGAGTATGGCCCATACTTTACTGTTTGGTTTTAAACATTTTTTCGAAAACAATGAAAACAGTGTTTACAGTGTTCACCTTTAAACCATCATTTTTAAAATTAAATCCTTTCTGTTTGAGGTTATTTATGTTTTTTTTTTCATTTTTTAGTCTTAAAATAAAATTGAACTTATTCTCTCTGTATTTTGTCCAATAATTAATATAACTAAAACTTTTTCAACTCACCTCTTTGAATATGCAATCAACTGTTCTTAAAAATATATAATACATAACATATATACAACTTATTTTAAATAACAAACTGTTTAATTCCATAGTTACATTACAATAATATCAATACAATATTGCATTGAAAAATGATATAAAATTTCCATCTAAACTATTTCTAAGTTTATAAAGAACTCTGGCTGGTGCATTAGATATGATGGAATGTCCTTGATACTATTTTCCCTCCTTGCGGTTTGTATCCTTTAGCCTTAGATTTGGCAAGCCATCACCTCCACATGAAAAGAAAAAGAAAAAGTACATCCAAAATACACATTTATATAGGTCATCCACAAATTCCGTAGGTCACCCAACATAAAGTAAGATCTCACATAGTAATCCTAATAGAATAAGTCTAGAGTTATTACAACACTTAAATGCTCATTAAGTTCACACGCATTCCCAAAAAAGCTGAAAAGAAAAGTTTGCTTTTGACATAGATGTTAGTCAAACAAAATAACCACCCTTGACTCTGCTTATGATTAAGCTTTCACCAAACATCTTGAAGAATCATCTCCATCCCAAACAGCCCTGCAGTAAGTCCTAATCCTTTTCCTTCTTAACCTTAACCCTCATTCTTTTTCCATTCTTAGTTGCTGAAAACTCGTCCTCCAATTTTCGTTTCATTGAGTCGTCCAATGCAATCACTGTTTTCTTTGCTGAAGTCTGAGGAGTGTCCTCTTCTACACCTTCATTGACCTACACATAAAGTTAATTTTGTTAGGGCCATGTTCAAGTGGCATGTTGAAACTTAAGTTTAGAAAAGACATGAACCAATATTAAGAAACCTATATCTGAAACGTGTTTTATATGTACCTTAGCCTTTCCGTCGGCTTCACCTTCTTTGCTATGTACGATCAGCTCTGCGTTGTTCACTGAACCACTCTAAAATGAAAATCCATTGAATATATTAAAAGTAATTTAGAGGGTTAAAATCTTAACAAAAAAGAAAAATGTGTTAGAAAAGATACCATTTCCTTGTCCTCTAGCTCGTCAAATTCCACAGTTTCTCCTTCTTTTGACTTGTACATTGCCAAAATAGCCGGGTCTCTGAACATAGACAACACCCCAAATGAACTCGTTCCCTTATAAGAGCATCCTTCTGGCTTTTTTTGACTTGGACTTTGAACAAACCTTTTTTCTCAGTAAAAGCCTCAATCTCTTCAGGAAAATGGTTAGGATCTCCCGTTTTCTGAATCATTCCAAAAAATATATACCTTTGTCAAAAACTTTGTATGAAGTAAGAAATATTTTTTTTAGTATTGAATTGTATGTATCATTAAAGTGTTTAAATCCCACCTCCATGACTTCCCTCCTCAATCTCGCTGCTGACTTCCCCATAATTTCAGAGCACTCTCTGTCCCATAGAGTGAATGAGGCATGACCAATATCATCCATAACATAGATGCTCACTTTGTATCTGTATCATATCAATAGTAAGTAGATTCGAATAACTAAAATGCTTGCATAACATAGAGGACATGAACACGAACTTCACCTTAGAACACCTTCTGCTAGAGTGATGTTGCATGATGCACATCTAAATCTGTTTTCCTGAGGGACCACCTTTTTCTTGCATGACGTGCAACCTAAGTAGCACCACTCCCTAAAACTGTCTATTGAGACAATCTACTGCCAGCACCCAGTATATTCCTTCCTGAAAAAAAAAATGAAACCGTTCTTACACATAGTAAATTGAACTACTATAGCTTGAAGCCTTAGCCTAGTGTATACTAACCACAATTTTTTCTAGTAATTCACTAACTGTGGTGAGAGTTACATTTCCACCCAAAATGTTGTCATGGCCATTTTTGATTGACTGGGTTCCAAGAAACGTGAGAGTTCCTTTGTCCTCTGCTTGCTCATCAAACCTGTACAAAAGTATTTCTTTTAGGTACTTTGAATGCTTCCAATATCTTAAGGTACTTTATTGAAACTCACAGATTTTTGAATTCTTGAAACTCATTCCTTTCTTCGTTGATGATAAGCTTTGTCACATCAAACGATGAAGAAACCGAAACATTTCCTGCGAAAACCGTATATGATTAGATAATTTAGTCCACCAATTAGAAAAAGCATTTGAAAACGTTAATAGAGTACCCTTGTAGCGCTTTGGCCTGCAGAGTTGAACAATCATGAAGATGGTCTCATTTTGAGCTTGGTTCACCTAGTCATTAAAGTCAGTAATGTAGTCGTTCCACAATGTACAACCGATTCTGTTCCCGCTGCAATATTAAGAGAAATTAAGACTGATTTATTTACGTTTTGAAATAACATGGAACTTATATAATCAATGTGTACTCAGAATCTTCTAGGGTGAGTTCCATCAGCCTCTTAGTGCGGTTGTTGATGACATGGGTGTGTGGTGCACAACGCCCCACAACCTTTCCAATGACATCTGATTTAAAAAACAGTTAGTATGCAACAAATACATTTGTATGAACTAATCATTAGAGTTAGGATAGTTATTTACCTATTAGCAGCCTGTCGTTAAGCACCCTTTGAGCTTGCAGCATCTCAAATGGCTGCAGGTCATACATGAAGTTAGGAAACTCCTTATCCGAGTGAACCACCTTTGTCCTGCTCACAAACTCCAAGATGTAAGGGTGAGAGGTAGTTTCGTACAACTGGTAGTTGTCGAGTACCATGAAATTCTTCATTGCATAGACATTGTCTTCCATTACTTGAGGTCTGAACAGAGCAACTTGTGGTCGTTTAACCACAGCATGAATCCGGATGCCCTACAAAAATGGCATATATAAGTTTGGAAAATAACTGAAAAAATGTATGAATATGGAAACTACAATTCAATTAAGATATACCTCTTCATCATGGAGCACCATTTCTAGAGTGTTACCTCCCCTAGCATGAACTACTACTTCAAATACCCTAATCACTCTTACCCTCAAAGCCCAAGAGGTTTTGCTGTGGTCAATCTCATTTATGGCAGCCATAGGTTTAGTTGGAGTTGGGAGTACTAGAGAGTTGGGAAGTATAGAGTGCTGAAAGTTTGTTGTGTGAGAATGGCTGTGGGAAATGTCCTATTTATAGTAGAACTTTGTGGCCCAATAGTATTTCACAACTAAACTTAAGTGCTCAGTCCAATAGGTTTAAAAATTTTGAATTGGAATATAATAAAGAACTACACCATCTGTGAATACTTTTTGCTCTACATTAATTGTATATCTTCATTGGTGTCTAACCCCTCAACTACATCAAAAGTGATTTCTACTTCAAACGCAAATGGGATGTGTTGTCAAAATCAAAACTTTGTTTCTTGTGTAAGCATTCTGAAGATCAAATGCATTTAATGCTTATCTTGGATTCTTTAGCATTCTGTAGATATCTCATTAATTGAACATCTATTTTTGGAACTTCCAACTACCCAATTGTACTATTCTGGATTGTGAACTATAATGGTAATGTAAGTCAACCGAAATGAATGAATGCATTTAATGTGATCTCCAATTTTTGGTATAGATTTTAAGAAGACATCGATCTTCAAAGATATTTAACCTTATTAATGAAATATGACTGGTGCCGCACTCAATCTACACGTTGGACCCAGTGCACCCAACTCAATAACTAAACCCGCCCCGAATACAAAACCCAGCCAAACTTGTAAACAAAAATTTGGGCGAGAAAACAGCCTGCCTTTCCACCTCTTTTTATATAGAGGTAGATATTTTTTGTAAAAAAAAACCTTTTTAAAAAAGAGGAATTTGTGTACCTCTCGATCCTCTCGTGGATATTTGACTGGAGTTCCGATATCAAAACTATGCGCTTAATTTCGTTTCGCTAGAACTGTAACGGATAAACGATCCCAAAATCTGCTCCTAAACATCTTTTGTTTTTCTCATATATACGTCGAAAACCCTAACAAGCAGGGGAACCAGCGAATATGCCAAATCGGTACGGAAGAAGGCAGAAGTTCATATGGAGGCCGAAGAAGAAAGATCCGGCGGGTGCTTCCTCTACTGCTCCGCCTCCTCCGCCGCCCCCATGGGTGGAGCTTCCGCGTGACTTGACGGCCAACATCTTGCAGAGGTTAGGAATGGAGGATGTCCTGAGGAATGCCATTATGGTGTGTACCACATGGAGAAACGTCTGCAAGGATCCGACCATGTGGCGCGTTATCAACATGTCGAAACCAAGCTGTAGCGACGACGACGAGTTAGAGGGTATGTGCCGTTACGCGGTGGAACTCAGCCAGGGCGAACTCAATGAGATTATCATTGAAGATTTCTGCACTAATGAATTGCTCTTATATATTGCACAGCGGTCAGCACTATCTTTAATTTAATCTTCACATATTCCTTACTTATTCATTGGGATATGGAATAGATATACTCTGAAATATGACAACATATATACACCTTTGGAACACTAAAACAAAAAAACTTGGAACTAATATACCCAAAGTTTAAAAGGCATATTTTTTCCATCTTTGTGATGTTTGTGTTAATTTTCCTAAGAAATGTCTAGGGTATATTCATTCTGTGGCATAATTCAGAAGCACATTTGTTCCTTCTCCCTTTGCTCCGTTATTTAGTTATATGAAAATCTCTTCAAGTATTAATCCTCGACAACATATGCTTGACATTTGACATATTTAAGAAAGAGTGACGTTTGATTAAGAGAGATTGTACTCGACAGAACTATCAGTGAAGGTATTTAAGAAGCATACAAAATTAGGCAAATTATATGATACATCTGGGCAGAAGTTCAATTTTTTCAGCTCACCTTTCATTCTATACAATACTCGTTTGAATATAATAGCTCATTTTATACTCTGTATTAGGGAAATGCTCATTTCGTCATTTGGATCTACCATTTGTACAGTACATTTGGTTGTATAGTACATTTTTCTTCCAAATTAGAGGGTGCTAGTTACATCATCATGCTCAAGTGCTTAACACTTATGGGAGTTGGGGCTTATATTCTAATGGAACAGTATGACTGTATCACACAAATGGCTGATATCCCAAATTGGTGTCGCAATCATTCTGTGATCTTTTTAATTGTTTTCTAATCGACAAGTGGAGTATTCCTTGACATGATTATTCTGGTTTTATGGGTTGAAGATGAAAATCACATCTGTCTTTATTAATTAGTGCACTTTTCTCTTATGAAGTTGTAAATTGCATAAAACAACAACATCCAAGCCTTATTCCAAAAAGTTGAAGATTGCATGTTTCGCTTTATTTCTTTTTTGGTAAAATGATCACATGTAATGATATATATCAATATATGCTCTTATTTTTTTCGTTCTCTGACATACATTTTCACTTTTTATACACTATTGCATACCCCTGCAGTGTTTACTCTTATAAGTTATGTGAAGCGTATAGATTATACAAGCAACTAGTCATTGGTTGACGGAGTAACAGTGTAGCCCTCTTAAAGAGAGTAATAGTATATTACTCCTATATAGAGTTTGGCAGTTTGGATTAGATATGACCTAAGACGAAATGCAGTTTCTCACTGCAAATATGGAAAAGTATGTCTACAAGTTAGAAGCCCTCCTAGTTTTAGGTTACGGTATAATTAATCATGTTATCAATATATTTGGGTTTTCATAATTTATTTCATACTAATAATTGTTCAAATTTCCTAGCAAAATGTTAGTTTACTAGCTTAGTTTTAAAAGGCGCGAGGCAGCACGAGGCGTTTTCATTGATTTACCTGAGGCGCGAGGCGCGCGCCTCACGGATCATAACATCATTTTTTTGGTAGAGTATATTTATCCTACTTCTACATGAAGCACTCTTCTCAAAAAGTGATAACATCACAAAAATACTTCAAACTATTAAACAATATTAATAAACATCATAAGAGAAACCCAATATTTATTAAGACACTAAGACGGTAGCAAGAAATATATATTAAACGGCGCCATTGCCAAAAGTCAAGTCACAAAACTCATTCTTAAAACATCAAAACATAATTACTACGTAATAAACTGTTATATAAAAAATTGTTAATAATAAAAAATGTCTTATATATTTGTTAAATAAAAACAAATATTTAGGTATCCTACTCAGCATGATCTAGAACAGACTGACAGAGGTAGTAACTCTACAATTTAAAGGTAATAAAATATAAAATATTTTATAAATATTTAGGTATCCTACTCAACATGATCTATAAAATACATACTTAATTAATAAATTATCACACGCATAAGAGAACAAACAGTAGAAGAGAAGAAAAAATATTTACCTGAGACAGTAGCGGTAGCAGAAAAAACAGGACTTGAGATAAAGCAAGCACAGAAAGAAGAAACAGGACGCAGATGTCGGAACTAGGAAGCAAAGCAAACGCAGAAGGAAGAAGGGAGAAGACTAGAGAGACTGAATCGCCAAAAGACAGTTCCATGAGGCGTGAAAAGCGCGCGCCTCTCAGGCGCGCAAAAGGCGTCAAAAAACGTCATATAAGATGTGCCTCTTGGAACCTACGCCGCTTGAGGCAACAACAACAACATCCAAGCCTTAATCCCAAAAGAATTTGGGGTTGTCTAACATGAATCGATCAATGATATCGATGCCAAACAGAGAAGACGGACAAGAAAGAGAAGAAAAAAAGTAAGATAAAATGAATAAAATAAAGATAAATAAATATAAGATAACAACAACACAAGAGTATAAGAAAGATAAAAGATAAAAAAAGAGCATAAAAAGCTAGAATATAAAAACAACATAAGAATGTACAAAGATAAAGAAGATAAACGATAAAAGAAAAAAGAGAGGAAAGGTAGAAAAGACATCAATCGTCCACATGGATGTGCCCCTCTACTTTGCTCTCTCCAAAGTCATACTCTCATCCAACCCAAAAAGACACATATCATTTCTGATTCCTCTAATCCAAGTCTGTTTGGGTCTTCACCTCCTTCTCTTCTCTGCCTCTTCTCCCCACCCCTCAAGTTGTCTAACAGGTGCATCACTCGGTCTTCTACGCACATGCCCAAATCACTGCAAACGAGACTCCTACATCTTATCTTCTATAGGTGCTACTCCCACCTTTTGTCTGATTATCTCATTCCTCAAACGGTCTCCAATGTTTGTCACCATACTTCCAACTTTGATTTAACACCGGATTGTGTCTCTTCAATCAATACAATATCGTCGGCAAACATCATGCACCACGGTATGTCTTCTTGGATTGACTGCGTAAGTTCATCCATGACTATGTCAAATAAGTAAGCAAATAAGAAAGGACTCAGAGCACATCCTTGGTGCACTCCGACGATAGTAATAGGGAACTCTGCGGTCCTCCCTACACTAGTGCGGATATACTTACGTGATATGCCTTTTCTAGTTAAGGCCCAACACAGGACTTCTCGAGGTACCCATCATATGCCTTTTCTAAGTCGATGAACACCAAATGAATATCCTTTTTAAACCAAGTTTACTAGAAGAACGAGATTCAAATTTAATACCATATATATATGATTGAAATCTTGTATTGTAATTCTATAGGTTCTATTCAACTAGCATCCTTTGTCTTGTTGTGTGCTTGTGCATTAATTGCAAAGTTTCTTTTTGTTTTGTATACTTTTATGCTATATCCTTTAAAAGTCATTTTACTTTTGCAATGAACAGATCAAGTAAGCTTAAAAGGCTTCGGCTTGTATCCTGCTACTGTGTTTCAAATGACTGTTTGAGTAAAGCTGCCACCCAGCTTCCATTACTCCAGGATATTCAAATATACTTCTGCGGTCTTTCTGTTGAATTCATCAAGACTGTGGGACGCTCATGTCCCTTGCTCAAGTCATTTACTTATAACAAAGATGGATGTCGAGACGAATTAGTGTGTGATGAGGAAGCTGTAGCGGTTGCGGAGTATATGAAAGGGTTGCACCACCTCTCTCTGTTTGGAAGTAACATGACAAATAAAGGTTTGCGGGCAATAGTTGATGGTTGCCCTCATCTTAAATCTCTTGACTTGAGAAGGTGTTTCAACGTTGCTTTGGAAGCAGATTTGTTGGAAAAATGTTCTAAGCAAATTAAAGATCTAAAGTACCCTCATGATTCAATTTGCGACTATGAATTTTCTGATTATGTCGAGGCCTATGACGAGTTACAGTATGCAATGGGCTTTTCTGATGAAGGTTATGACTTTGATGATGAGTATGATGAGTATTTTGATTATGACGACTATACTGATCCTTTTAGTCACGAGTACTTTGAAAATTTTGATGACTATCCAAATGTACCACCGGTGAGAATACTGATGCTGCAGTTTTAAGATAGTTTTCATTACCTTTTTTTCTCGTCTGACTTTACAACATCTTGTTCTCGTATTAATGCAGGAGTGGTTTATGTAAAAGGAGTACATGATGGCCTTTCTAATGTGCTGATGTTGGTGCGGGTTTTCACCGATTCTGGGTTATCTCCTAGCTGCTGCTGCTGCTTGTCCCGTATAATATTGATCAAGAATGTGTTCTCTCATTCGCTTAATTCATCCTATCTAGGTTGCTACTTCTGTTTTTGGGATTTAATTATGCTCTGTCGTGAACATCAACGTGGTCTCTTAAGAACTGCATTCTTCAGTCTTTTATGATTGTGTTCTTTTTAGTCTTGTGTGAAAAAATTAGTGATCTTTTCAGCACATTAAATAATACTAGTGGTCTGTGACTAGTATTTGATTAGCAGCAGCTTTGGCCACAGGCAATTTGTAAGAAAGGAAAAGTAAACCTTGAAGGTCATCGGTATCGGTCCAACAGTGGGGCAGTAAGCGTTATACGGAGCATTAGACTTTGATCAATGTGAATTGGCAATAGCCATGAAGGGCATTGCAATGCAAAGCTGCTCTGTTCGAAATCGTATTTGCGCAGTCTCCAATCACACCTCATGCCCTGTAGAACTTTTTTACTTCATTCCTCTATTATAATTTTGTGAAGTATGACTGCCACATTTAAGAATAAAGTAAATATTGTGTGTAATTAATGTTTCTGGATAGCAGAGAAATATTAGGAATCACAAAGTAAAGTAAGAAATAAAATAATTGTGTAATTTTAATGTTGCACGAACACTTGTATTTTGGATTTTCTTCACATGATCTAAAAATTGTTTAATTAGAGTGTCTTTGGTATTTAATATTATTTGATATTTTACAAAATCAAGTATTAATTATCTAATAAAGATAAATTAACATTACAAAATTAGGATTTTTTTATAGCATAAGTATCTTAAGTTTTAAATTAATGAGTTGTTCAATTGTTTATTTGTCCATGTAAAAATTAGGATTTTTTTATAGCATAAGTATCCTAAGTTTTAAATTCATGAGTTGTTCAATTAATGAGTTTTCAAATCCCGGTGTAATTTTTTGATTTTTTTTTTTGAGAATCTTATTCATTAAGTCTAGTTTATCCATACCAAATTTAAACTAAAACTTCAATCGAGAAGGCATTCAAATGAATTTTTGAAGATAACTGCGCTTTTAACTGTGCAATTATCTTCAAGAATTCATTTGAACGCCTTCTCGATTGAAGTTTTAGCTGAAATTTGGTATGAGTAAACTAGACTTAATGAATAAGATTATCAAAAAAATTTATCAAAAAATCCACCTGGAACTGCCCCAAATGGCGACGGCCGGACAGAACCTCCTATGTAAAGGTTTATTTGACCTTTTTTGGTTAGTACGTGGACTTATTTGTCCCTTTTCTCTTATATGAAAAAAGACACACTTTCAATTTAATAATATATACTCCGTATATAATTTGCATTGCGATTTACTTTTTTAGTTTGCTAATTAAGATATACTCCCTCCGTCCCCTAATATTGTGACGGAAGATAATGATGTGATTTTTAAGAAAAGTAGAATTATGTGGATTTGATAAAGTGGAAATAAAGTACGGAATAAGAATGAATTAGAGCGATACAAATGTTATCAAATATGGTATTAGACAATAATATGAAGACATCCAAAAAAGAAAAAATGAGACAGTTATAGAGGACGGGAGAGTACCATATATATCATGACTTACATTCATGATTAATTTACTTTTTGATAATGCATTTATATTTGTTTCTCATTTGAGAAATTTGTTGATTAATTTCTAAACTTTTAGTTGTGCTATTAGTCTCATATTATTACTTGCAGATTAACTAATACGGAGTAACATCATTTACTTTACGGATTGTTGCATTTGAAAGTACAACTTTTGGCGATTCAAATATAGAAAAACTCCTCCTCAGTTTGAAAATTTTCACTAATAATTGTACATTTCGGTAATAAAGTGGAAATAAGCTTATCAATTATAGGACCTGATCTAGATGTGTGTAAAGTTAAGAGACTATCAATTTAGAGAAAATTGTCCAATATAGGACTAAAACTCAACCTTTTTCTCAAAATAGGACCACATGCATGTTTTTCTCTAAATAGGACTAACCTTACCTTTTTTACCCCTAATTCTATTTATTTAATTAATTGATCTAAATAATTGCCCCCCCTAGTTTCCTTGCACAACCAAGGCAGTCTGGAGGTGGCGGCAGCTCGGCGGCAGCGGAAGAGGCGGTTTCCGGTGGCGGCGGCAGTGGCGGCGGTTTCCGGCGGCGGCAAGAAAATAACAGACATTAAATAGACAATAAATAGACAATAAGTAGACAATAAATAAACAATAAATTCTGATAAACACCATTGCGGCGGCGGAGAACTCCGGCGGTGGCGGAGGCGGCGACAGCAGAATCTGGCAGTCTGCCAGATATTTTTTTTGAATTTTCCGGCGGTGCTCCGGCGGCGGCAGCGGAGGAGGCGGCGGCGGAGGGTGGCGGCGGCGGCGGAGGGTGGCGGCGGCGGCGGAGGGTGGCGGCGGCGGCAGAATCTGGCAGTCTGCCAAACATTTTTTGGAATTTTCCGGCGATGCTCAGGCGGCGGCGGTGGCGGTGGCGGTGGCCGGAGCTCTGGCGGCAGGCGGCTGGCCGCAGGTCGAGGGGTAGCAGTGGGGGTATTTTGGTCCAATCACACATAAAAAGTCCTATTTAAGAATGTTTAAACTAATTGGTCCTATTTTGGGAAAAAAGCCATGTTTTGGTACTATTTAGGTAAATCTCCCATCAATTTATACATGAATACGTTATGGAACTAAAAACCTGTTCGGTAATCTTGTTTTTCGGCTTATCAGACTTAACAATCAGTTTTTTCACCAAATACGAAACTTTTGATTTCGTGCGCTGAATCGTGTAATACTCCCAATTTGACGGTATCATATTTCCTTTTTGGCAAAAATATTGATGTTCAATTTCATTTTTACCTAGTGGCGGAACTATTAAGGAGTCTTGACGGGCTTGTGCCCCTGTGGCCCGACAGTTTCTTTACATATACTTCGTATTATATATATATATATGTTGGGCTCGCATGCTAGTTATGCGGCTGGGCACCTACAGCAAAAGAAAAGACACGTGGAACTAGTTGGATGCCTTGACCCTGTGTGCGTGAGGAAACTAAGCTGCATTTAAGGACTTTATTCCAATTTAAGCTGAACAATTATGTGAAATGGGTGAGCTGTAAAGATTTTGCAACTATGAGCTTTCCTTGCCCGGTAAACGTGGCAGCTGCCTTTTAGTAGAAGGGATGAGATTGTTTGGATGGTTTTTCTAGACTTCTCTAATTTATGAAAAACTACTCTCCCCTCCCAACACTTTATAAGATGTGGGGCGGGGTGAAATGGGTAAATAAATTTTATATTTAGGATTATAAATTTGTTTTGGTTTTTATTATTTTTTGTGGGAAAAGGGGTCAAATAGATCCATGTACAATTGTAAAACTGTCATCTAAATCCATGTACTAAAAAAAGCATCATATAAACCTATTTATTCCAAAAAACGATCAAATCAACCAATTTACCTGAAGTTGACCTTTTTTAACTGGTCATTTTCTATTTGTGATATTTTATATTTTCTCTTTTTTCTTTTTAATTTACTTTTTCTTTATGTTTTTTTTCTTTCTCTATCTTCTTTGTCCGCTCCTTCCCACAGACTTCATCGTTGTCCTTGGGTCGCTGGTGTGAGGATCTCCCAACTTCCCAAGGTCCAAAACTATTGATCGACCTAAATCTCAAATCGAAGACATGAAAGCAGTCCAACGATGATATCCTTCATATTCGTCCACATGGAAGTGGTGGCTACCTTCTCTTCTCGTTGTGCGGCAAGAGGCCGAGACTGTTGTGCGTGCAGGGTCGTCGGAGAAGGGAGGACGAAGCTCTCTGCTCTCCATCGGAATCACTAATTTCTTCTCTCGCCTAGTAGCTTCGCGCAGGGACTATTGAACGGACTCATTTACCCTCATCGCTCTGCCACGTCCCATTAATAGGAAGACCACCGACTGGGAAAACCATTCTCACCGCTCAAGCGCCGATCTCATATGCCTCTAAAATCTGATTATGTAAATATATACTACATATAAAATACGGAGTATATAATATCAATTTCTTAAAATGAAATGATTAATTAGAAGTTCTTAGTTTTGTGGGACACCCATTTAATAATCATTCTTTGCTTCGTAAACAAAATTGAAGCAGGCAAAAGATGATAGGAACTGGGAATGGGGTGAACTGATCACATAGAAAGAAAAAGTAAAAAAGAAATGAAATAAAAAAATTAATCTGTATAATTAGCAAGTGATCGGCTAAAAATGGTCTACTTCCGGTAAATTGGCCAATTTGATCGTTTTTTAGGAGTACATAAGTTTATATGATGCTTTTTTAAGTACATGGGTTTAGATGATTGTTTTACGATTGTACATGGGTGTATTTGACCCTTTTTCCCTTTTTGTGAGCATTTACTATTTATAAAGTCATCACAAGATTTATACTACCTCCATCCCAAATTGATTTGCAAATTTGATTTTTTTTGTCAAACAGTTTCATTTTATTCTTTTAGTTAGGATGTCAATTTTTAATTATATTCTAATTTAGAGTTTACAACTTTGAAGGGATTTCAATGTAATTTCTGAATATGTAAATTTTAATTAATAAAAATTGAATTAATTATCGATAGAGGGGATTGACTTTTATTATTGGTTGACCAAAAAAAGTTGACTTTGCAAAACAATTTGGGACAGAGGGAGTAGTTTTTCTCTACCCAGGATATCCTTCTTTTAAAAATAAAAATAAAAAATAAAAAATAAAAAAAGTGGCTCGCCTTGCCGCCTGCCGGGAACCTCTGCTGAGCAACAAGCCAGAACAGCCCAGAGGGTGGGCGCAACCTCTTCCGATTTCCCGAGTAGGCAGCTATCGCAACCTCTTCAACATTTTTTCTTGTTGTCGCCTACCTTGGCGGAGACCGGATTCCAGCGGCACAGCAACCTGCCTGCCTTGCTAGAGGCCTTTTCTTTCTGTTAGTACCCAATTTTGATAAATTTTGATGATGCCACTATACTTTGCACGTGTATGTCTCAGTATTGTTCGTGTTTTAGCATTCAAAATTATGTGACAAAATAAAATGTACAATTTTTTAGTCTAATTAAATATTACCGGAAAAGTTAAAATGTAATAACGTAATATTTATTTACCTTAATAGGATATTCAGATCCTACCGGCGTATATTATTTTAGCTCAAAGATTAATTATGTGTCACATTTTAAAGAAGCTCGAAAAATCAAATACATTGAATGTAAATGATTAAAGACAAAACTTGACCGGTATTTAATACCGAATCAAGTACTAGGACCGGAGCATAGGACGCACACATGGGATTAGCTTCGAAAGAGATGCTTCAGCGGCTGAGATACTCAAGACAGAAAAATCATCCCAATAAATGCTCCAGCACAAGAAGACAATTGTACAGTTCGTCCTTGCCAATTTTTCAACGTCAGAGATTAATTCATCCTAACCAACGGATGAGATTAATTCACAGGAGAAGTCTATAAATATAGACTGAAACGAAAGTTTCTAACCAAGATTGAGCATTCTAAGTAGAGCAATATTTCATTGAGCATTCACGAGATATCTAGCAAAAGAGAAAGTGTGAATCTATACTTTACTCTCTGCTTAGACTCTTGCTTCACTATACTTCTTAGTCACAAGTGTTCATTGTTAAATCCTAGAAGTTTAATTCCTGATTGGAGGTTAGAACTTTCTTG